ACACACACACACACACACACACACACACACACACACACAAAGATTTTAAATACCTATGTGGTGATGGACTAGTAGTAAGAAGGTCTATAGCAAGTGTGACAGGAATAGGGTGACCATTTCCTGAGGTAGGGAAAGCATGAACTGGAATTGGACTCAGTTGGTAGACAGCTTGCCTACCACACATGAAGTTCTGGGTTCTATTCCCAGCACTTCACAAATCTGGGTTGGCAGGGCAGGGTAGGTGGGCCAAGAGCATCAAAGCCAAGGTTGGCTACATAGTAACTCCAGGCTGGCCTGGTATATGTAAGTCCTGCCTAAAACAAAAGGTTTAACAACACAGATTCAAGTACAAGATAAGTGCTCAAAATATTACATATTTGGTAAGTGTTGGGTGCATGCATTTAATCCCAGCACTTGGGAGGCAAAGGCAGTTGGATCTCTGTGAATTTGAAGCTACCCTGGTCTACATAGCAAATTCCATGCCAGACAGGGCTACATAGTAAGACGATTCTTTAAAAAAAAAAAAAAAAAAAAAAAAAGAATCCGGGAAGTGGTGTTGCATACCTTTAATCCCAGCACTCAGGAGGCAGAAGCAGGTGGATCTCTTTGAGTTCTAGGTCAATGTGGCCTACAAATTAAGTTCAGGACAGCCAGAGCTGTTATACAGGAAAAACCCTGTTTCAAAAAACAAACAGCTGGTGGTTGGTGGCGCACGCCTTTAATCCCAGCACTCGGGAGGCAGAGGCAGGCGGATCTCTGTGAGTTCGAAACCACCCTGGTTACAAGAGCTAGTGCAAGAACAGCCTCCAAAGCCACAGAGAAACCCTGTCTGGAAAAACAAAACAAAACAAAACAAAAAAAACCACAAAAAACCTTCATTAAAAAAAAAAGTTTACTTGGGGGCTGGAGAGATGGCTCAGAGGTTAAGAGCACTAGTTGCTCTTCCAGAGGTCCTGAGTTCAATTCCCAGCAACCACATGGTGGCTTACAACCATCTGTTACGAGATCTAGTGCCCTCTTCTGGTGTGCAGATAGACATGGAAACAGAATGTTGTATACAAAATAAATAAATAAAATCTTTTAAAAAAAGTTTATTTGGGACTAGAGAGATGGCTTAGTAGTTAAGAGCCCTTGCTGCCTAGCACCTATGTGTAGCTTCTCACATCTCTTCTAAACACCAACTCTAGGGGACCTGGAACTTTCTGCTCCCAAGGACATGGAAACACACACACACACACACACACACACACACACACCTTACCTCCTATTGTTATTTTAAGACAGCGTCTCACAATATAGCTCAGCCTATTTTCAAGCTCCATATGTGGTCCAAGCTGGCCTCCAATTAGAGATTTTCTGCCTCAGTCTCTCCGATGTTAAGATTACAGAACTGTGCCATATACACATACATTTAAAACTCTTGGTGGGGGCGTTGTGGAGATAGGGTCTCACCATACATCCCAGGCTAGTCTCAAACTCATGGCAATCCTCCTGCTCCAGTCCCCATCTCACTCTTGCTGGAATTACAAGCAACTGTCCACCATGCTTGGGCTTTTTGTTGTTTTTGTTTTATGGAGACAGGGTCTCACTATGCAGCCCTTGGATAGCCTGGAACTCTCTATATAGACCAGGCTGGCCTGGAATTAGTTCCATCTGCATCTTCCATGAAACTGTTGGTATTAAAGGTATGCACCATCACACCTGGCATCCCGGCTTTTTAACTTTTATCTTTAAGGCTTTTAAACAAACAGAAGGAAAGAAGAAAGGAGGAATTTAAAAATTGTATAGACATTGGGCACTGGTGGCATTTATCTTAATCCCAACACTCAGAGGCAGAGGCAAGCAGATCTCTGTGAGTTCGAGGTCAGCCTGGTCTACAGAGGGTGTTCTTGGACAGCTGGAGCTACCAAAGAAACCCTGTCTTGAAAAAGGAAAAACAAAAATTACATGGGCAAAGTTTAACAGGTGTTTGTAGAATTTGAAGGAGAGAATGGCAGCGATGACCACAGGCCAAGTGTTGAGGATATGGAGCTGATATTAGAATTCAGATTTTCCGGAGCAACAATTCTAAGGTTCTTCCTGGTTCCGGGAGCTGCTATCCAATGATTCTTAAAACATTGATTCATGCGGAGCAGTGGAGGCGCACGCCTTTAATCCCAGCACTCAGGAGTGAGAGGCAGATGGATCTCTGAGTTTGAGGCCTGCGCTACAGAGTGAGTTCTAGGACAGCCAAGGCTACACAGAGAAACCTTGTCTAGAAAAACCAAAACCAAACCAAACAAACAAAAAACCATGGATTCATGATTCATTCATTAAATTGTATTAAGTAGCTGCTGGGCATGATTGGGTAGGCACTTTTCCAGGCAAGTTAAGTATGAGAATGCAACGTTGACAAAAATCTAAGCATCACGGACTTTACAGTCTATACAGAAGACGATAACTGTCTTGAAGGGGAGAACAAGGACCAAGGTGTCCGGGTGCCTTGGAAAGCGCGGAATTAGAAGGCAGCGAGGAAAGACAATGGCATTTCCGATAACGTGATTTGTTCTCGGCTCTTCGGATCTTGTCCAGGGACTCCAAAGAAGGTAGCAAATTAATTAATTAATAAAGCCGGACGAGTTCCGCAAGAGCTCAATTCACCCATCACGGCTCACCTAACAGCGGACAGGAGGGAGGCGGGGCGCAGGTACATGGCGCATGCGCACTCCCGCTCCGGCCGCCCGGAGGATTTGGACCAGGATGGCAGATGCGCGCAGGTACCGGCAGGTTCCCGGCCGGCGTTGAGAAGGCGTTACCCAATGGCGATTTCGTATGGCGTCTCTGTCCCGCCCCCTGCGCCCTTGCCTTACTTCCGCTTCCGGCGCGCCGGTGTAATTCCAAGAGGGTGGCTGCCTGGGGTGCGTCTCGGATGTCTGGGCTGCTGAGCCGGGCCCTCCCGCGGGTGGGACGGCCCATGTCGAGTGGCGCCCACGGCGAGGAGGGTTCAGGTACGGGGTCTCGGGTGGGAGTGGGGCCTCCGCGGCCCTCGGGCGACGTGGCCGGGCCGTGACCTTGGCGGGAGGCCTTGCGGGAGGGAGAGGCCGAGGCTGTGATCTTGTGGCCCCGCCGCAGCTCGCATGTGGAAGGCTCTCACCTACTTCGTGGCGCTGCCTGGGGTGGGAGTGAGCATGCTCAACGTCTTCCTGAAGTCGCGACACGCGGAGCACGAGAGACCCGAGTTCGTCGCCTACCCGCACCTCCGCATCAGGACCAAGGTACGCCCTACGCCCTCGCCGCCCTTCAAGCGTCCGTTATTTCATGGTCCGCTCCCCAGTCCAAGCCCAGGGGCCCTGGGGTCTGTCTTGACTGCTAGTCTGTCCGCGCAAACAGAAACGTTTTATTTGCTCTCGAAGCCAGTTTGTAAGTCCCGTCTCAGCTTTCTTAAAGGTCACACAGTAAAATGCCTCTAGGTTTTCATTCTTCCTAGTATATGGCACCCCTTGTCTTCCGGTGCAGTTCAGGAGCGGCCGTTTCTTGCATGGAAGCGTGGATCTTTGGGGTGTCCTTTCAGAGTGGGAAGCTCTGAAGGTGATTCGAGATCTCCGCATTTGGCATGCTGGGTGATGCTAGGTGCTTAACGACCCGACTGCCGGTTTGGCTCTCACGGTGCCTATCGTTTGAGCTGTTTTATACCTGGACTGCATGTATAGACAGTTAAAATAATCTGCTATCCGTCACTTGATGTCTCTCAACAAGGGTGTCTCCTTGTACCTTAAAAGCTGTGTCACCGTATTCACATAGGACTAGACTTTAATTTTAGCATCCCCTGAGCCTCGATCCCACTCTTATCCAGCCTCAGCATTGGGAGGCAGAGGCAGGTGGATCTCTTTAGTTCCAGGCCAGTCTGATCTACTTAGTGAGTTCCAGGACAGCCAGAGCTATTTAGTGAGACCCTGTCTCCGGAGAAACAAAAAAAAAAGGAAGGAAAGGTATTTGACAGCATCCTGCCTTGGCCTCTGCCACTAGATGGCAGCACCACCCCCTCCTGAACGTCTGTATTTGATGCTCCGTATCCTGTCCTGGGAGCCAGGGTGGTAGCTCAGGTCTGTAATCACAGCAAGTGGGAGGTGAGGACAAGGGGATCAGTAGTTCACAGTCATTCCTTGGTGAAATCGAGGCTAAATGGGACTTTCTAAAAAACCAGAAAATGGTTGTGAGCCACTGACCTAGAACAATGCTTTTCAAATACAGGGGGAAAGGGACTGGAGAGATGGCTCGGTGGTAATAAGAAAAACAAAAAGTGGGCATAGTGGCACATGCCTTTAAAACCCAGCACTTGTGAGGCAGAAGTAGGTAGACCTTTGGTCTACAAAGCAAGTTCCAGGTCCTTGTCTCAAAAAAAAAAGAAAAGAAATTGTGATTGGCAGAATCACACATGCTGGTAATCCCAGCACTCAGTAGGCAGAAGCAGGCGGATCACTGTAATTTTTTGGCCAGCTTGGTCTACATAGTGAGTTGCACATTAGCTGCATAAGGAAACGCTGTTTCAAAAAACAAATGAAGGCTCCGGGGATGGCTCAGCAGTTAAAGGCATTTGCTACCAAGCTTGAGGACAAGAGTTCAGTCCTGGAACTCACTCTGTAGAAGGTGAAAACCTACGCCTGCAGGTTGGCTTCTGACAGTGGCCATACACACACAAAACAAATAAATTGATTTTTAAAAGAAGGTAGTGGTTTAGCCAGGAGTTTAGTTTAGTCCCAGCACTCCAGAGGCAGAGGCAGGTGTGTATTTTGTGAGTTCGAGGATAGTCTGGTCTACAAAAGAAAGTTCCAGGATAGCCAGAGCTACACAGAGAAACCCTGTCTCCAAAAAACAACAACAACAAAAAAGATTTTAAATTGCATGCGTGAATGTCCAGGGAAGCCAGAGAGTACTTCAGATCTCTGGGGCTAGAGTACAGGTAGTTATTAGCTGCCTCATGTGGGTGCTGGGAACCTGGCTTGGGCACTGTCAAGCACAGTACAGTACATGGTGCTGAGCAGTCTCTCCTTCCCCAAGTAGCTGTCTTGAGCTTGCTTTTCTTACTGTCTACTTCAAGGGCCTCCCTACTGGTTGTTTATTAGAACACACTTCAGTTATGGAAAGGCTGGGGGCTGGAGAGATGGCTCAGAGGCTAGGACCACTGGCTGCTCTTCCAGAGGTCCTGAGCTCAATTCCCAGCAAGTACATGGTGGCTCACAACCATCTGTAATCTGATTCCCTTTTCTGAAGACAGAGCACTCATCATAAGGGGGGGAAGCTATGGAAAAATTGAAATTATGCTATTAAAAAACTGGTTTTCATTTTGATTTTAGGTATCATGTTTCAAGCAGTTCATGGCCAAGTTCTTTGTGAGCATTTTCTGGTATTATCTAATTAACATCTTTATTCCACAGCCCTTCCCCTGGGGAGATGGTAACCATACCCTCTTTCACAACCCTCATGTGAACCCACTTCCGACTGGCTATGAAGATGAGTAAAGAGAACCTGGACTATCCCCCAGGCAACAAGGGACCACAGCACTGGTTTGGACCATTACTCTGTGTGTGGACCACGAAAGCACATGGGGCGCTAAGCTCATCTGTCCTTGTATCAAATTGGTGACCGTTACACCAATCTTCCACCATCCCTTTGCTTGTAAGAGGAGATGGCTTGAATAAATAACTTAAACTTACATTGTTCATGAGCTGAATGTTGCAGTCTTTTATTCTCAGAAATTGACATTCTTTTGCTATTTTACAATACTTCAGATCTGGTTTAGCCTGCTGAATACTGTTTATAATTGGTTCTGTGATGGTTTCTTGTCCTTAGGGTAGGTAAAACCAAGAGCACAGAGCAATTACCTATCAGGATGGCTCCCTGACAGACAGGAATAATCAATGGAATGGCTGCTGTTTATCACCCCCAAGACAGGTGTCTGTGACAGTGTCAAAATAGAAAGTTCCAGGTCAGCTCAGGCTACACAGGCCCAACAATGTGCCTGTGCTAGGGATTCATTTCTCAGTGAGGTACATAGCAGTACACACCTTTAACCCAGCACTCCGGAGGCAGAGATGGATAGATCTCTGTGAGTTCCAGGACAACCTGGTCTACAGAATGAGTTCCAAGGCAGCAAGACAGAGAAACATGTCTTGGGGAAAAAAAGAAAGAAAAAACAACAACAAAAAACAGTAATAGCAGCTGGGCTTTGGTGGTGCATGCCTTTAATCCCAGCACCCGGGAGGCAGAGGCAGGTGGATCTCTCTGAGTTCCAGGACAGGCTCCAAAGCAATACAGAGAAACCCTGTCTCGAAAAATAAAACAAAAAGTAATAGCAGTAGTTACAAAATGACTCTGACATAGCCATTAATTGCTTGTCAAAAGCAATTAAGCTTTAAGATAGCTAGAGTTATTTTCTGGGGAAGATGAAGTCAGATAGGGTGAATAATCAATTATCTTCTTAGCAGTTTAAGATGCTCCTGTTAGAATGTGATGCAAAGCAAGGAAGCTATTAGTAGATGCTCTTTTTAGACTGGGTCTTGAGATGTTGCCTACGTGGCCTTGCACTCCTAGGCTTTGGCCTCATTGGGAGTAGTTAGGTTAAGGCATGCACCACTGTAGTGATATATAAGATTTATTAGAGCTTGACTGAGGATTCAGAAAGCTACAAGCCATAGAAGCCAGGCACACACCTTTAATACCAGCAGCCAGAAGCTAGCAGTGGTGGTACACACCTTTAATCCTAGGACTCAGGATTAAGAGAGATGGATCTCTGTTAATACAACCCAGATCTATGTAAGAGTGAGTCAGCCTAAAAGAATTATAGCTCACACCTTTAATTCCAACATTAGGGAAGTATATAAGACAGAAACAAGGTCTCAGGGAGGCTTTTTCTCCAGCCACACTGAGGAGAGGCAGCAGTTTGAGACTTGAAGAGCTTGAGCATGATTCAGCCCTTTCAGCCTGAGCTAGAGGTGAGAGCTAGTGGCCAGCTGCTTTGCTTTTCTGATATTTAGCTTGAAATTTGAACCCCAATATCAGTCTCTGAGTCATTCATTTCTCGTGTTACACACCACCACACCGTTACTTCTTGTTTGTATTTAGAGACAGGGTTTCTCTGTGTATCTCTGGCTCTCTTGGAACTGTTGGCCAGGCTGGCTTCGAGCTCACAGACATCCACCTGCCTCTACCTCTTTAGTACTGGAATTAAAGGTGTGTGTCACCACTATCTGGCTATTTCAGGGATTCTTAAGTCTATTCTGAAAGTTAAGGACTTCGAATGTGTTTCTCACTTCAGCCAAAAATGATCATCACCACCACCACCACCACCACCCCCCAAAAAAAAAAACCCTAAAAGGCCATGGTGGTGCATACTTATAACCTCTAGGACTTTGGAAGAGGAGTCTGATGCCAAAGGACTGCCATAAGGCTTGTCTTAAGAGGAAAAAAACCAAAAACTAGGGAGATGTGAGATGGTTCAGCAGCTAGATTTGGCAGGTCTTGCTGACAAGTCTGACAACTGAGTTCCATACCCAGGACTTACACAGTGGAAGGAGGGAACTTACTTCTAAAGTTGACTTGCATCCACATGCATACATGACGTGTGTGCCCACATGAATCAGTTATAAAAAAAAAATACTGCCCCAGTGTAGTTGTTTGAATGAGAATGGCCCTTCAACTCATGTTTAAATTCTTGGTCCCCAGTTGGTTGAACTGTTTGGGAAGGATTGGAGGGCATGGTCTTGCTGGAGGAGATGTGTCACTGGGGGCAGGCAGGCTCTGGGGTCTCAAAAACCACATCATTCCCAGTTAGCTTTCTGCCTTGTACATGTGGACTAGATCTAAGTTCTCAGCTTCTACTCTAGCTTCATGCCTGCCTGTCAGCTACCGTGCTTCCTGACATGATGATCATGGACTTCAACTCTCTGGAACCAGGGCTGGAGAGATGGCTCAGAGGTTAAGAGCAGTGACTGCTCTTCAGAGGTCCTGAGTTCAATTCCCAACAACCACACAGTGGCTCATAACCATCTATAATAAAATCTGGTGCCCTCTTCTGGCGTGCAGGCAGAACACTATATAGATCTTAAAACGAAACAAAAATCTTTCTAACTATGAGTCCCATAAACACATCTCTTCACAGCAACAAAAAAAGTATTAAGTCACTTGGTGGTACACATCAGTAATCCTTGTACTTGGGAGGTGGCAGCAAGAGGATCAAGAGTTCTTCATCTACATGGCAAGTTTGAGGCCAGCCTGGGCTACAGGCTTAAACAAAAAAAAGGGGGGGGGGGCTGGAGAGACGGCTCAATGGTTAAGAGTGCTTGTTGTTCTTGCAAAGGACCTGGGATCAATTCCCAGCACTCACATAATGGTTCCAGGGGATCCAATAGGCATATACATGCATGTGAACAAAATATTCATACACACAAACAAAAATAGGGATAACAAGAACAAAAAAGGGTCTGGATATGTAGCTCAGTTGATAAATGCTTGCATGCATGAAAGATTGGGTTTGACCCAACAGCACATAAATCAAGTGTGATCTTAACTAAAGTCCAGCGCTTGGGAGACAGGCAGGAGGATCAGAGTTCAAGGTCATGCTCAACTATCCATTGAATTCAAGGCCACCCTGGCCTACACACACACACACAATATATGGTATATGGCTCAACTGGTAAAGGCACTTACCAAGACAGATGGCCCGAGTTGGATTCCAAGGACCCACATGGTAAAGAGAACTGACTATCCATGCACACACAAAATGCAATAAAAAATACAGGAAAATTTTCTCTTAAGAGATTTGTAAATCAGGGCTGGAGAGACGGCTCAGAAGTCAAGAGCACTGGCAGCTCTTCAACACCTGGTTTCAGTTCCTAACACCCACATAGCAGTTCACAATTGTCTGTAACTCCAGTTCCAGGGGATTCAACACTCTCAGACATATATAATACACCAATGCATATAAAATAAATACTTTTTTTTTTAAGGTTGTAAATCTGGATGTAGTGGAACACACTTGAAATCCCAGCACTCAACAGGTGGAGGAAGGATTATCAGTTTGAGGCCAGCCTGGGACACATGAGACTGCCAAAAAAAAAAAAAAAAAAAATCTGTTCTGTTCTCTTTGCCATCTGCCGGCTGCACTGGGTCCTGACAGTGCTGTGAGGCCAAATTAAAATGAAGTAATAGTAACAGAAAACATGTCAGCCTTCTGTATATCAACTTTCATTCTGTCTTTAGAGATATACTAAATTCTGTCTAGGGAGCTGTGAGGCTACATGGCATTGTTTTGGAACCACAATACATACTAGTATAAAGAAGCTATTTATATAAGCTTGGTATTATAGTGCATATGTGTAATCCCAGCAAGCTGGGCAGAGGCAGGAGGCTAACCTGAAGGTCAGATTCCTGACCTATGTGCTGTATCAGCCACCTAGGCTTAAACAAATCAATTTACAAAGCCAATGGGGTAATAAGTGTTCTATAAAGTGCACAGTTCCAGCAGCAAAGAGTAAAATCTGAATTTCAGAATTTATTCCATTTTCATGATTACAGACTTAGGGCATGGTAGGCAAACAGATAAGTGAGCACCTTTCCTCCACTCCGCCAGATGCATTTTGCTGTTATATGATATGCAGATTGACATCAATTCACGGAGCTGAAAGTTGGCAACAGCAAAGCTGTGATGTAAGCGACTCTTCCACAGCCATTCCAGGTGTTGCAGCTATGAGCTGGCGCTGTGAGCTCCAAAGTGACTTTTACATCATTTCTGAAGCTTTCACATGTTAATCCAATGCCTTGTTAAGGCAGGAACTGAGTAAGCTGTCTTCTACTTCACCAACCCAGGCCGCCAGCATTTGTAACTGTCATATAAAAATACAATCATGTTCTCAAGCAGTGATTGAAACTGTTGTGTCCGGATCCCTTATCAGAGCATCAGCTCCCTGAGAGGAAAAAGAGGTCCTGACCAACTGCGCATGAACAATGACTCCCATGTATGTAGTTCCTCTGCAGCAGAAGCTGCCAGGCAACCAACTGTGATCATGACCAGTTTATCATTATTTGCATCCAAGGACTAGTTAAAGCTGATTCCAAACCATGTATTGTAGCCAAAACCCCAAGAAGCTTTTCCACTGTAGCACATGGAGTTCCTGCAAGATGCCAGCAAAAGTGAAACTGTCTCAAAGCAAGAGTGGCAGCTGCTCTTGTAAAATGAGAGAAGAATACCAAAAAGGAAGAAACAAAACTTTCTTCTTAAACTCCTCGAATCCCTTGGCTAGCTTCACAACTTTTGCTGGCAAAATCCAGAGGCCTCTCAGTTTACTGACATCTTCCTAGTGACATGCAGGTCAAGAGGAGTTTTCAGGCTTTTCTTTGCCATGGCCCATGAACTCCAGTCCTTCTATAGGAATCTCTTTCTCCTTTATTGCTTTCTGAAAGAAGAAAATATATAAAAGTCAGTGTTTTGTAACTGCAGTGTAATGGCACAGAAGTAAACCAAAATGAACTGGAAAGGTTTGAAACCCACAATTCAAGGGACACTTGAGACATGGTGTCACTGTGTAGCCCTGGCTAGCCTGGAACTCACACATATCTGTCTGCTTCTGACTCAGCATTGTTTTAACAAAGAAGAACCACTGTAAAGATGCTAAGTCCTGTGTGGTATACTCACATGCTCTTGGGAGGCAGAGGTAGGAGGTACCTCTA